TGATCATAGATCAGGATTCAGACCCAGGTCTACTTGACTCTAAAGCCTGTGCTTTTATGTACCACAAGGTATGGCTAATGTTTTTAAAAGCACATCAGACCCATATAGCGTTGACTCTTGCATGCAATCTCCTTGGGAAGCTATACTTTTCTGTTGGTGCTCAAAAGATGCGAGGCTCTCTTTTGGAATTGATTTCATTTCCACAGATACTCCAGAGGGTCACCAAAAATGACATATTTTCCATCAATCCCTGAAACTTTAGGTTGAGAAAGATCTTCATGACTATTGAATATTTATTTAAAAAAGTTTTTTTAAGCTTATTTATTTTGAGAGAGACAGAAAGCACAAGCAGGCAAGGGGCAGAGAGAAAGGGGGGACAGAGAACCCAAAGGAGAAGGCTCTGTGCTGACAGCAGAGAATCTGACTCAGGGCTTGCACTCAGGAGCCATGAGATCATGACCTGAGTCTAAGTTAGATGTTTAACCCACTGAGCCATTCAGGAGCCCCATTGACTATTTATCATGTAGGTGTTCTCATTAGGAAAATAAAAGCTCTGTTAAAAACTATTGAAAATGTAATAGATTATTTTGAAAATTCTCAAAATTCTTTGAAAACCCATTGAAGACATGTCTTAAGGGGGGAAGATACTTGAGGACTTTTTAAAACCAAATTTGGTGAGTTGGGAGAATAATCCACTTATAAAAAAAACAGGAGTGAATGATAAAATAATGATGTCAGGTTTTTTTTATGTGACATTGTGACATATACAATTGTATGCACCCTGTATTTCCATCACAGCCAACTGTGGCCCCGACACTGATGTTTGTCATGGAGTCTACTCAGTGACCTAGAAACGTCTCACCTATTCAGTGACCTGTATCCAGGAAAGGGCCAAAATGATGACCTATAGGAAATGCATTAATTTAGCACCTGGTAAACTTTAGCACAAAACATATGGTGGAGGTGATGATGTTGCGTGAAATATTTCCTCCCTCAGCAAGATTGCCAAAAATGTGCTCCTTTGCTATTTTCTCTATCAAAGATGTAGGAGGAAAGATTTTTTTATTTGTGCCTGTAATAGATATATTTTCCTTAAATAAGATATAGGTCAGTGATAAGCATGAACTTCATAAATATTTTTTATGGGTTTTAAAGTATTTATTTATTTTGAGAGAGAGAGAGAGAGAGAGAGAGAGAGAGAGAGAGAGAGAGAGAGAACAAGTGGGGGAGGAGCAGAGAGCGAGAGGGAGAAAGAGAGAATCCCAAGCAGGCTCTGCCCTGTCAGCACAGAGCCCAATGCTGGACTCAAACTCATGAACTGTGAGATCATGACCTGAGCCAAAATCAAGAGTCAGATGTTTAACCAACTGAGCCACCCAGGTGCCCCCATAAATATTTCTTATGCATATTATAAGTGGGAAAAAATTAGCCTCATTATGAAAAAAAAGCATGGTATTCTTTTGATAAGAATTTTGAATTTATTATATTTAAAGTTTTGATTCTGCTTCTAATAGAGTTTGGGTCATATGTTGGCCACAGGTAAATACAGACGGAATCAGGCTTATTTTCTGTCCCTGTTCTCCTTATACACCTTTATCAGATCTCAAGTTCTCTGTTACTGTGAATTTCTCCATTCTCCTACCAGCCTCCTATGTTCCTAATCTTGTCAAACCTTTCCCTCCTATGATCTTGTCCAGAAAATCACCAATTTCCTGATTCCTTGCTCTACAGGGCTTCTCAAAGCCATAAGCCATAAGCCATATACTGTGTCCATTCTCCCAAAAACAAGCCAGACTGAATCGAAACTTTGTATCTAGACAATGGGAATAGCTTTTTCCTCCCCACCTTGAGTTCCTTCTTCATGGAAGCCACCCTTGCCAACAGCAAGCACACTTTTGATCACTTGCCTGACAAAATTAAGGCAGGGTCATTCAGCAAGTATTCTATCAATTTTTTACTCACCTCATAGTCTTGTATGCCTTTACTGTGGCTACAAACCCGCTACTGTCCCTTCCCTCAAAGACCCTCTGCCTCTGAGATATCTGCAGAAGATTTGGCCTGGCACTTCCCACCAGGTGAGGCCACTTGTGTTCCAACACTGTTCAAGATTGTCCTCTGTCCTGATGTTTTCCCAGGGTGTATGTGGTTTCCATGTTTTTATTCCCACAACTTGCTTTAACATCCTTTTATCCCTTAGGCACTGAATTGTACAAGACAACTAAAGGTAGAAGTTAAAATTTTACATGCAGTTGTGCTTGTATTTCTACCCTCTCCATAATTTCCTCCAGCTTCTTTCATGCAAGAGTCAATTTCCATTTTTGATGCCACTCAAGCCTTGGGCACCAACCCCCCCCTCCCCCCCCCCGCCAAAAGACCTATTAGTCCCATCTCAGTCCAAGATCATCTTTAAAAAATTCCACCTTCTCCTTCAAAATGTTGAAGTCAAAAAGTCCTTCCTTGGGCTATGTGACCAAACTTCTCTTGCTAGACTTAATCCACTGAATACCTTGATTTCTTTTGTAAAGAGTTTTCTCTGTAAAGAAATCATTGGTCCTAAAAGCTGAGTTTTAAAACCATTCTCTCGGGGCACCTGGGTGGCGCAGTCGGTTAAACGTCCGACTTCAGCCAGGTCACGATCTCGCGGTCCGTGAGTTCGAGCCCCGTGACAGGCTCTGGGCTGATGGCTCAGAGCCTCGAGCCTGTTTCTGATTCTGTGTCTCCCTCTCTCTCTGCCCCTCCCCCGTTCATGCTCTGTCTCTCTCTGTCCCCAAAAAAATAAATAAACGTTGAAAAAAAATTAAAAAAAAAAAATAAAACCATTCTCTCTTTTTTCCAAATCTTATTTAAATGTTGGGTGACAAAGGAGGATTTGAGATTTTTAAAGAGCATTTTTCTCTGCACAAGGTATTAATCAATCTGAGATTAAGAGGCCTATTAAGCTATTTAGCTAGGATATGTTTATTTTTTAGGTACTGAATTCGTTAAGTACATTCATATATATCAATTTATTTTACCCTCGAAGTAATTCTTTGAGATGGCTTTTATTATTCTCAAGTTATAGACAATGAAACCAAAGCTCAGCGCAGTTGAGCTGTGGGTTCGTCACCCCAAGCTACAAGTAAAGTAGGACTGATGCTTTGCTTTATTGCCATCTAGGCCCAGCACTCTTTCCTGCTTCCTCGCTGTTCTGTGTCACGGGCCTCTGGTTAGCACTGAGCCTCTTAGTGAGAAAGAGACAAAGGATAATGTAGCATGGTTGACAGTGGTGGTGAGGCAAGCAGACCTATGGGGAATGTGTCATTTTGATTAGATATTACAGTCCCATATACATTTGGAACTATTTCTGGGCATTAATTCAGTTCCATTGTTTCGTCTGTGTGCTTACAGTTAGTATCACACTCTTAGTTATTGAAGCTCTCTATTTCAGTATCTGATAGGATTAGTCCCTCTCTCATTGCATTCTAGTCTCAGCCCCAGATTTTCTTCTTTAGAACCAGCTAATCTAGGGGCGCCTGGGTGCCTCAGTAGGTTAAATGTCTGACCCTTGATTTCAGCTTAGGTCACGATCTTATGGTTTATGAGTCCGAGACCCGCATCGGGCTCTGTGCTAACAGAGCAGAGCCTGCTTGACATTCTCTCTCTCTCTCTCTCTCTCTCTCTCTCTCTCTCTCTCTGCCCCTCCCGCGCACACGCTCTCTCTCTCTCTTGCTCTTGCGTTTCTTTTTCTCCCTACCTCAAAGTAAATAAACTTAAAAGAAAAAAAAAAAAAGAACCTGCTTATCTAGTTCAAAACATCCTTATGAAGATTTTGGGTCTTCTGGCAAAACTGTAGATTAGATCAGAGAGTGTTTACATCTTGATGTTTTTTGTCTCCCTAACATAGAACACCGTAAGTTTTTCCCATTTGGGCTAGTGTTCTTTTGTGTTTGTTTAGTGTTTTCTAGCACTGGTGTCTTTTGTGTTTTTACCAGATCATAAAGGTAAATTTTTTTTTTTTTTTTTTTTTTTTAATCACTTTCCAAATAATCTCTCTCAGGTCATTCTCTGTATTTGAATGCTTCTGTCTTTTCCTCTCTCCTACCTTCCCTCCTTCCTTCCCTCTGTCCCCCCATCCCCCTCTCTCTTTCTTTTTCTCTCTTTCATACAGCACACATGAACACACACAGGAGTTTCTTCATTCACAGAGTCATCGAGGGCACTTGAAAGACATTTAACAGAACGGTCCAGGACCTTCTGTGATGCACTAAGGTGTTGTTTTCCCCTAGAAGAACATGACAATAGGCTGTCATAGTCTTCAGGATGGAGGGATGTTTACCTATTTTGTCCACTGCAGTTTTCCATATGCCTAGAACAGTACTCAACATATAGTAACACTCAGTGGCTATTTGTTGAGTGGATGAATGAAAAATTCACTACGGGCCTCCCTAAATTCCTTGGAACAACAAGGTCCTTGGTTTATGTTAGCTGGCAGGTCAAACTAACTCTGGGTATTTTGTTGTGCAAAGTCTGTTTAGAAGAAAAGCAGTGTGTAGACTATAATTTTCTTCCTGTGTGTGTTACACTGACCTATTTCTATTAATAATAAATGCCCAAAGCTCTATTGAAAATAAATAGCCATATTCCTTTTTGCTTATTATTAGCCAGAGTCTTGAAATTCACACTTGCACAAGGATGGCTCTAAAATGGATCCTAACAGATGGGTACTTCTTGAGCTGTCGTAAGGCCGATGGAGAAAATCCAGTCAATGTGTGGGTTAAGTCTGTGAAGAACAATCCTCATTCTGATGAACCATGTTACAAAGCCGGGCACTGGGTTCTTCATCTTATACTGTTTCCTGGCAGTGTGGGAGGCAAAGTGCATGCAGGAAACACTGTCACCCTTGTGGTTTCGAACAGTTCAGGTTGCCTTTTATGAATATGCATGAGGGGCTGGGTCTTGCTCTTGCCTCTGGAGTTTTCTTGAATTTAACTTAACCCTCACAAACCCTCTTCCTGCCTATGTTTTGAAGACGTTCCTTGAGGGGATTTGAAAAAGTGAGTTATTTCTCCAATTGTGGAGCATTTTACTTTTTCTTTTTCTCTTAAAGATGACAAACGGCACCCTGATTTATTTTTATTCACCGTGAGTCATTTACTAGTCTTATTTTATAAATAATATTTTCTACGTCTTACTCAGAGGCAGATGGGAAAGTTCAAGGAAACACCCTCTGGAAAGAGGAAAAGTATTTCAGTCTGGATTTGTACGTTGGTGCCATTGCTAGAGTCCCCCATGCACAGTGCTGCCATGAGGAAATAAACAGATGGCAAATAGTTCTTGCAAAGCAGCATTTAGAGGGGGTTTTCTTTGTTTGAGAAGTGACTGCTATTCTGCTCGTAGGGTGAACTCTGTGTATTCCAGAGAATGCAAAAAACAAGTTGGAAATGCTTTTCTAATATTCGTAAAACAGGTCACTGGGTCTAAAGGGCGCTTGGCCAGTTGGGAGCACACATACACACACTTGATAATCATTATTGCATGTTGTCTTTGCGAGAGGAAGTGGGGGAGGGGAGGGGAGCTCCTCTGAGCCAAGAGGCAGCTCCAGGAACCCACGTGGTGAACAGCATGTGCTGGGAAATGCCAGCCTGTGTCGCTCCTCAACTTGGCATACAGACTCAACTCCTGTTTGACAAAATTCACAAGGCAGACAGGGAGTAGTAGGGTTGTTTTCTCTGGACAAACAGTAATGGGTGAGGAAATGGGCAAATGTAGGTTGCTATGCAGTTGTTTTGCTGTTGATGTGGGAGCAATGCCAGGCAGCACTTAGATACTGGGAACATTTTCATTAATCTGCAGAGTCCCAGCCTTTCCATAAGAGAACCCCCACTAATGTCTTTTCCTTTAATGACAATAGTTAGGGAGAAAATGTACCTTTTTCCTAGATGTGCTGCTTTTGTTTCTCCACAGGCTAATAGTCCCTTCCTGAAATCCATTATCTACCTAATCCCAGTTGTCATAGATTACCAGTTTCTAACGAACTGTTTCGTTTGTTTGTTTTTAATGTTAGGCATTCTTTTTTTTTTTTTTTTTTTTTACCATAAACATTTGTGTTTTAAAAATTGCTCAGCACTATTTTGGCATTTAAAGTTCATGATGTAAGAGCTGATGATTTTGCCTCGTTGTTAAGTGGTGAAATAACAGGGTCAAAGTGAGGTTAACAGGATTAGAATCCCAACTGCTCTGGAGTCTTTCTTTTTTTGAAAAATGGTGGGGGAGAAGAATAGAAGGGTGGAAGGAAGGAAGGGAGGGAAGGAGGGGAGAGGGAGGGAGGGAGGAAAAGTCTATTCAAGAGAAAGTCTTATCTGAGCTAAACCTTTTTATATGCTCTTCCTATGTCTTACTTTATTGGTTCCACAAATACCTTTCTTTTTAATTTTTTTTAACGTTTATTTACTTTTGAGAGAGAGAGAGAGAGAGAGAGAGAGAGAGAGAGAAACAGAGCATGAGTGGGGGATGGACAGAGAGAGGGAGACACAGAATCCAAAGGAGACTCCAGACTGTGAGCTATCAGCACAGAGCATGACACTGGGGCCAAACTCAGGAACCGTGATATCATGACCTGAGCCAAAGTCGGACGCTTAACCGACTGAGCCACCCAGGTGCCCCCACAAATACCTTTTAAGAGTACACTAGGCATTATGAATAAAATAGAAATTTTGGTTACCATTTAAGGACATACTCTGGATTTTAGTCCCCAAAACTAAATCTGTTTTTCATTTTGCACCTCATATTCTGTCTCCAATGCCATTGAAAAAATAAAATAGATTACCTGTGACTTTTATTAACACAGTTTTGTTTTATAGCAAGTTTATGGATTGTGTTTTCCCCATGTCCAGTTATCTCTACTCTGTTCGGCTGTCCTGGACCACACAACTTAATCCAAGGTCTTAGAACCATGCTGTATCATTAAAAGGTCATGCAAAGTGTGCTTTTCAGTGAGTTTTTTGCAGCCTTCCATCCCAGGTCTGGATTGCTTCCTTAGCACCTCTTCCGTGAACTCCAATTGCTTGTGAACTTCTCTGTCTTCCCCATAGGCTGTGAGTACGTTCAAGGAAGGGCCTGTGCCTTGTTCATTTCTGAAGTGATGGCAACGTAATCAGCACTTAACAGATATTTGTAGAAAGAAATGAGTGCTGCGCAAAACATCTTTGTTTATATATTCTGACTTTATGGACTTTTTTGTTTTTATGGAATTGGATTCCAAAAGTGAGTTTGTTGGTTGAAGTCTCTCTATATTTTTAATTTTACTTTAGTTTTATTTTTTAATGTTTATTTATTTATTTTGAGAGAGAGCATGAGTGGGGGAGGAGCAGAGAGAGAGGAAGAGAGAGAATCTTAAGCAAGCTTCACGCTCAGCACTTGGCACTCAACGCGGAGCCCGACACAGGGCTCAATCCCACGACCAGGAAATCATGACCTGTGCTGAAATCAAGGATGCTTAGTTGACTGAGTCACCCAGGAGCCCCATTTTAATATATGTTGCTAGATTGCTTTCCAAAAAAGTTAAAGCATTTTCTCCCATATTTCCACCAGTAGTAGGTTTTATTGGTCTTCTAAATGTTTGCTAGTTTAATAGTATAATTTTTATTTTCCTGGCTATTCATCAGTTTGAGTGTTTGTTGGTGATTTAGATTTGCTGTTCTGTGAATTAACTTTTTATATATTTTGCCTATTTTGCCACATAAAAGTTTGCATTTAAATCAATATATATAAAAACAAGTATAAAGTCCTCTTTACCTAAAAATTCCAATTGCAGGTATGTATCATACAGAAATATTTAGATATATAAACAAAAATATACATGTAAGTATCCTATTACATCCCATCTGCATAATATATGCATAAGCATCCTATCTACAAACATAAGAGCATTGTAGTAACAAAAGCTGAAGTTTTAAGAAAAGAAGGTAGTTTGATATATGGTGTTTTCTTATTATGGAACAAGAAGAAGCATTTAAAAAAATGAGGTAAATCATGTACTACATAAAGGATTTCAGCCTATTGTTAAATGAAAAAAGCAAGTTGTAGAAGAGGAATTGCATAGTACTACCCTACATTGTATATTTAGAAATGCACAAGTGGAAGAAACTGTTTGTCCTTAATCTTAGAAACAATGAGAAACTGTTTTTTGACTCACGCTGCAACAAGCAGATAGCTACGATTGTAAAAGCTAGGTCACATTCCAAAAGATGCACTGAGGTTTGTTTTTCTGGTTTTTGTTTTTTTTTTAATGTTTATTTATTTTTGAGAGAGAGAAAGAGACAGAGCACAGTGGGGGAGGGGCAGAGAGAGAGGGAGACACAGAATCTGAAGCAGGCTCCAGGCTCTGAGCTGTCAGCACAGAGCCCCACGTGAGGCTCAAACCCACAAGCCATGAGATCATGACCTGAGCCTTAGTGGGACGCTCAACTGACTGAGCCACCCAGGCGCTCCTCACTGAGTTTTTATAATGTGGGAAATATATGACCAATTCGAGGTGGCAGAGAAAGAAACATAGGTAGAAAACTCAGTGAGTCAGTTCCTTGAGGGATCAATTAGTTGTGCAGTGACTAGCAAGAGGCACGATTAATTATTAATCTTATGTTTCTTTATGTGACGACTTTCTGTATTATTTGACACATGTTTCACAAACTCTGATATTGATAGCTAAAGATAGTTTACAGTTCAGATGGGTAAATTCTGTGTTTGTAGTGAAAACATTTAATAGAGTCCCTATCTTTTCAGATCCTCTCTGTTGTGTTTCCTAACTTAGATTTAGTTTGTGATAAAAGTGTATCACAAAATTCGGTGTTACTTGAGATCATCATCTCAATATAATGAGTTGGCAAGTAAATTCTGTGTTTTGTTCCCTGGATCGTTAATGTTCTCTATCATTTAGCTTTCTTATCAGTTTATTGAAAGTAGCTTAAGTTTAGCTCCGAGTGATTTGCTTCATAGGCCGTGAAGTTTTATTCCTATTTAAAGGAAGACACGCCTTTCTAATGTTTACATTTTGCCCTCTCGAAAAGATGACTTAACTATGTAGTTTCCACAACATAAGTGTGTATGCGTATGCCTGCAAACATCTTTTTGTATGTAAACCCTTAGAAATGAGCACTGTATGGACATAACAGCAAGCTCTTAACAGGCTTCTGTGCAGGGACAGGGAGAGAGAAAGGGGAAAAGGGATGCTTTGAGAGTTCACTTTTATTCTGAGTACTTCTATAACGTTTGATTTTTTTTTTTTTTAATTTTTTTTTTTCAGCGTTTTTATTATTTATTTTTGGGACAGAGAGAGACAGAGCATGAACGGGGGAGGGGCAGAGAGAGAAGGAGACACAGAATCGGAAACAGGCTCCAGGCTCTGAGCCATCAGCCCAGAGCCCGATGCGGGGCTCGAACTCACGGACCGCGAGATCGTGACCTGGCTGAAGTCGGACGCCCAACCGACTGCGCCACCCAGGCGCCCCATGATTTTTTTTTTTTTTAAGTGAGAATTGTTTCGTTGTTTGGTATTTGTGTAATGTTCAGAATGAAAAGAGAAAATAACTAGTAATTAGCAAAAATCAATGTTTTCTGTATCTCTCAGAACAATATTCAAGGAGATGACAACTTTTTGGAATCTAAGGATGCCCTTTAATTGCTGAGTAATTTTCTGGACAGTTATATGATAGTAGTTATACATTTAGTATCTGTTTACAAAAGAAATAATTATCTTGGGGTGTGCCTGGGTGGCTCAGTCGCCTAAGCATCCGTCTCTTGATTTCAGCTCAGATCATGATCTCATGGCACTGGGCTCTTCACTGGGTGTGGAGCCTGCTTTAGATTCTCTCACTCCCTCTGCCCCTCCCCTCAACAACAACAACAACAACAACAACAACAACAACAAAAAAAAAAGAAAGAAAAGAAAAGAAGAGAAGACACTACAAATCCATTTGTAGTTTTTAATCTGAAATATTATCTTGTCCATAGGGTTTCTCTCTGGTATCTCAACTCCCTTTCCTCTCATCAGTCTGGTAGATCCCAGCCTCGAGTGAGTTCACCTGTATGTCTCTCTGTGTGCACCCCACCCCACATTATCGAGGTGTCCTGGAGAAATAACACGACTAGGCCATGGGTACTCTCCAACTCCGTGTCATTAGGCCGCAGTCCCTCACAGCTGTCCAGCAACCCTCCTGTGTTTCCCTAGTCACCTTCTCTTCCACTTGCCATAGTAAATACTTCATCCACTCACCTTCTTCTCAGACATCAGCCTCCAAATAACTCACTTCTCTGATCTAGTTTTAGTTTCAGTCTTCTAGGCTAGATCCTCAGCTCTCAGCGGGTGAGAGCTTGCCTGCTTTGCTCACAGTTACCTCTCAGGACCCAGCCTACTGCTAGAGTGGGCACTCAATAAATATTTAAGGAATGAGTAAATGAGTGAATGAATGATGCTTTATAACAAATAGATGAGGAGGGATATGATGAAGGTTTCTGGGCCCCTTTGAGGGACTAGTGCTTAATGACGTGGAGCTGGCCTAGCACGCGTGGCTGCATGGTATTATTCTCCAGGAGACTGCAGTAGCGTGGGCGCACACAGGGAAACATAAAGATGAAGTCATTCAGGCTTGGGGATTTGCCAGGCTAATGAGGAGCAAGGGAGCTGAGACACGAGAGGGAGTGGTTAAAGTGAGGGACCATGGGATCTCTGCTGGGTAGGGAAGGAGTGAAGAGAGGAGGAGATAATAGGGGCAGATAGGACAAGGCTGATGTGAAGGCCTGGAATAGTCCTGATGGCCTGTGTGAAGACCAGCTAACTGAGAGCTGGAAGTGGAGGGTATTGTGGTTGGAGAGAGAAATTCTTGCCTAAGGGTTTCTGAGGTGAAGCAGTCCAGGGTGGTGGGCTGAGGGTGTGGCTGAGGTTGTATGGGGCTGAATGAACAGAGGGGTCAAAAAAAAAAAAAAAAAAGAGAGATAGAGAGAGAGAGAGAGAGGCCTTCAGGACGCTGGATATATCACCATGTAGATGTTCCAGGTGAGGAGTAAGTCTGTTTATGGGGGAAAGCGCCACCGTTTACAATGACAGCAGGGGCTGTGAGACTCAAAACCACCTCGATGAGGTGGGTTGGAAGGGGATAAAGGAATTAAATACATAGAGATGTGAAGAAAAGAAATTATTATGATGTAGGTGGTGTTGACTGATACTTCAAGTTGGAGAAAAGACTTAAAAGAGAGGAGTAAATATTGAAGAGCAGTGAAAATTGCGTGTAATTATCGGTTGTTTAAAGCAAACAGCACATAAAACAAAAATTCCAGGAAGTTCAAATACATGTCTCATCATTTGTTATTACTTGAAGATAAAAACTTAAATCATATAAAAGTTTTCTGAACCTCTCAGAAAACATAGCATCATCTCAAGGGGCTCACTTCTAGAAGGAAAACTGTAGTAACTTGCCAGTTCTAGTTCTGGTCAGGCATTCCTAGAATACCTTGGAGTGGATTTTAGTCTCACAGGGATCCCACTTCCAGGGTATCAACAGGTCCTGACAAATAAAGCTCTTGAAAACGTTCTCTACTGCAATGCTCGGTCTGCAGACCTAGTTAATGACAGAAACACATCTACTTCATTTCTGGTACTTTGATTGCTGATAAACTTGGACTTAAATACAAACTACTGTTCCTTCTCCTCTTAGAAAATGAAACTAAAAACAACTGCCTTGGCAAAGCATCTGTGTTCTATTATTACTAAATTTAAGGCAGTTTATCAAGTATACATGACATGCAGGATCTGAGTCCTTCCCTCACAGAGAGCAGTGCCTGAGGAGCAGGGACACAGCAAGAGAAAGGCTGTGGTGCTAACAACAAAGCAGCCTCCAGCATCCCCCAAATAGCTCGGTGTTGACTGTGGGCAAAGAGCTGAGAGCAACAGTGTGGGACCGAGTTGTCAGGGAAGGCCTCCAGGCATTACATAAATGCCCAAGGAGAGAGAAAGAATTCACACCAAGGAGGGAAATTATTTATGGCATTGCAAGGGTGAAAAGATTTTTTTTTTCAAGGTCCTGGTATCTCTGATACTGTATCCTAGTGTTTAGACATATGGAGTCACCATTGCCATTAAACTATTAAAATGTGGCAGAAGACTTGGAATCTCTTCAGAGCATGTTGTAGAAGGGCTGACACAACTCCAATTATGCCTTTGGTACAAGTATCATGTCAGATTGATGTCTGCAAAAGGAGAGGGATTTGGAAAACTGCATAATGGGTTCTTGTATTGTTTTTATCCTTTATTTGGTGCAATCCACACTCACCATGCCACTAGTAGCTTCCACAAAACTCAACAAGGTCAAGGTCTGTACGAAGGACTTGCTAGCTCCTTTGATCCCTCATGGAAACCTCTTAAAACCTGGATTTGATTCAGAGGTCTAAGCAAAAGCCCTCCATGAAGCCGTGCCATGCCTTGTAACTAAACTTTAAGCATTTTCTCCTTCGTTGTTCCTTTAGCAGAAATTATATCCCTGCTGCCCATCTATAAATTGTCCAAGCTGGAAAGGATGTTTTGTGTTTTTTTGTGTTATCTCACAGCCTGGGGAAAATTAACAGATGAAACAAGAAGTCAAAATGTAATAAGAGGGGCACCGTGCAGGATGGTGTGCATCTCTTTGGTATGAAGAAAAGACAGAGCACCCTTCATTTTCTTTTAGAGACTATTTGACCCATGGGCTTAACAAAAGCAGCAGAAGAAATGAGCCAAGAGTGGAAAAGAGTGTGTGTTGGTGATGTTGTTACTTAGCAACAGGAAGCTTCTGGCTGATGTTCTGAACTGAACAAAGGAAAGCAGCGATGACAGCATGGAATAAATGAATGGGGAGAAAATGAAAGGAAAGAAAGCAGATGCAGTGGTGGAAGAAGGCTAAGAGGGAAATGAGAAGTAAAGGAAAAGCATGGAAATGGACGTAGTAGTTACTTAAAAACCAGAATACTATGAATAAAATCATTTGGGAAAAAAAAATTAAATAAAGATGGAAATAGCCAGAAGAATAAGAAACCATCTGCAGGGGAAGCTGGTAGGCAACTAATTGGTGGAAAAAAATCCTCCCATGTATTGAACTCACAGTTCCTGGAATCTGAGTTTGAGGCCATGTAGGCTTGAGGCAAGGTGCCCAGAACAAAGTCCACACCACTGAGTCTGATTAGGCTACTCAGAAGATGAGCCAGGAGGTATGAGAGCTCCAGGGATATTTTGGTAGCATGTTAGAATAGGTATGAACCCATAGAATAACCCTACAATAACTTTTAGGCTTTTAGACCACTACATCAGTTCTCACCCAAAAGGGCAACCCCAGGAGAATTGGAGAAACTTTAGATCTGGCAAGAAAACTCCTAATTCCATCTCTGATTCTTTCAAAATCTTATTACAATGTCATAGCACAGAGCAGGCCAAAAAAGTATTTACTATGGATACATAAGCCTTGATGTAGTCCCAGGGCCTTTGACATGGCAGTTACATGACATCTTGTAGGCCTGGGTGTTTGTTTATATTACATGACCAGTAAACTTGTCTTCTACATTTGTTTCTTAAAAGGGCAACCATGCTTCCTAGCCCATCCTCCGCATTTTTTGACCATTTACACTTGTAAGTCAAAATATCATGAGCATTTCCTCCCAGTATATGTACATTTTTATTCATAAGCAATATACATATACTATCCAATGATACGTGGGCCATTAGAATATGACAAGATAAAATTATATACATGTGTTTTTAATTTTATTTAATTGCTTAAGGGTTTTATTTTGTTTGTTAATGGAAACTTCACCTCCTTATCCTTACCTTCATTTCCCCACTCTTCCTCTAGCCTACCTACCTACCAACCACAGGGCATAACTTAGGAGGTAGCATGGAACAGGGGACATTAGGTATTTGCAGTAAATAGAAGTGGAATGACATTTTTCCATTCCCTGCTCAGAGCTATCACCTCATATTTTATAGGGATACATGGAATTATGTTATCAACTCCCATTATTTATATTACCACCTTATCAACTCTATATGTTATTCATTAGCTACATATGAAATAGGACTAAGTTTTTAAGTTAATCCTCTTTCAAAAACACTTCTTTTATCTATAGCATTTAATTTCTAGTTAAGCATGGCTAAACAATACACTTTTTGGTCTGCTTCTTTCTCAAATCTCACTAAACTGACAGTGAAAGGATAGGCCATGAAGAAGCAATGAAAATTATAAAAAGCTTGGTGTATCTATTACTGCATAAAAACTACCTCAAAATTAGTGGCTTAATATAACACCATTTATTAGAAAACCATTCTTGGGTCAGCAATTTGTTCAAGGTGCGGTCCGGATGACTCATCTCTGCCCCCCGTGGCGTCAAGTAGGCTTACTTGCAATTGCAATCAGTGGGCATTTAGCTGGGGTTAATAATTAGGGTGCCTTAGTTCTCCACATGGCTTCCCCAGCAGGCGAGCTCAGGCTTCCTCACGTATTGTTGAGATTCCAAAGAAGGCAAGAGCTGAAGCTGCAAAGGCTTCTTGGGGACTTGTTAGAAGTCATAGACATCACTTCTTCACTTCTGCAGCATTCTGTTGGTTAATGCAAGTAGCAAGGTGTAATAGACTGGGTTGTGTTCCTCTGAAACTCTTACCTTGAAGCCCTAACCCGCAATGTGACTGTATTTGGAGATGTACAGACTTTAAGAAAGTAGTTAAGAATAAATAAGGTGATAAGGGTGGGCCCTTCATCCAATAGGACTAAGTGCCCTTCTAAGAAGAGGAAGCAACACCAGGGATATGCATGCACAGAGAAAAGGCCTCAGCAAGGAGGTGGCCTTCTACAAGCCATGGAGAGTGGTCTCACCTGATACCAATCCTGCCAATACTTTGACCTTGGACTTCCAGCCTCCACAACTATGAGAAAATACTTTCCTATTGGATAAGCCATCCAGTCTATGGCATTTTGTTATGACAGCCTCAGAAGACTAATACACAAGCCCAGCCCAGATTTAAGGAGTAGAACATAGACACCACCTCTTGATGAAAGGAGCTGTAAACAATTTTGTGACCATTTTTAATCTACCACATTTGGAAAATGTCAGCTTGTTTTAGAAAGTGTAAGTATATCAAGAGGAATACTTAGAGAAATGCACATATTACTCCTCCCTACCACCGCTTATTTTCTTTAAACAACTTTGTAACTGAAATTGCATCAACATTTTTTTTTAATTTTTTTTTCAACGTTTATTTATTTTTGGGACAGAGAGAGACAGAGCATGAACGGGGGAGGGGCAGAGAGAGAGGGAGACACAGAATGGGAAACAGGCTCCAGGCTCTGAGCCATCAGCCCAGAGCCCGACGTGGGGCTCGAACTCACGGACCGCGAGATTGTGACCTGGCTGAAGTCGGAGGCTTAACCGACTGCGCCACCCAGGCGCCCCACATCAACATTTTTTATCTAGGTAAATAAGAGGTAGTAACTTAGTAGGCATATATATAATTAGGTATAACTAGAAAATGATATCAAAGGCAAAGAATTTCCCCTAGAAAGCAGAAGCCACATTATGCCAAAGCAAAGCTATATATGGAGAATAAATATAGAGGAAAAAAATGCCTTTTCTAAGATTGAGCATTAAGCTTTAAATACTGTATTAAATTTATTCTTCTCTGACTACTGAGTGAACATTTTTCATTTTCCATAGTTTTTGTACCATATCAATAGATGTTATATCATATGGACCTTTCTCCATCCTTTTCTCTAATAAAAACCTCAATTTTATTCAGGTATTCAACCTATCCCTTTTATACAGAGGCACACTAATTAGATTGAGCCATCATGTTAATTCCTTTCCTCTATCGTAATGACCAGTTCAGAAATCCAATATTGAATGCTATTTTGTACATGCCATTTCCATGGTGACCATTATTGATGCAGAGAATGCAAATCACTCTGAATGGGAGGACTTATAATCCATGACTCTGAGATGGATGGTCTCTCTTCTACGGAACATAAACATTGTGATCTGGTGGCCACCTTAATAACCATGAGGACTGCTCACCTAAGGACAAAGGTAATACACTGAGGCTCCTGAATGTCACCTTCTGTCTAGAATTCTTCTTGTGTTATGTAATAAGTGTTCTGACTCTTTAGGCCAGTTTCATACAGGATTTTTTTTTTTTTTTTTTTTTGCCTGTAGCCAAAAGAATCCTTCCTATCTGATGATGCTGTTCCTGTTTAACCTGAGGAGTCCTCAATGATCTCACATGGAATGGTTTTACAAGGCAAGTCAGTTCTTTCCATACTCCACTCCATTGCTCCTCAAAATCGCCAGATCTGTAAGCAGATTGAGATCTCTGTATGCCTCACAAGATCCATTTTAAAGCAAATCTAAGAAGAGAAAACGCACCCATCAGAGGAATTGAAAGACTGCTAATTTATGTTGGTAAAATATGGACAATATGTGAGGAAATGGATTCTGAGAGTACCAAACTAAGGAAGGAAGAACACAATTATAGATCAGATAGAATTTATCACTAGGGATGCAGTTATTGGAGATTCTGGATTTAATGTTCTAGCTCAAACAGTTGGAAGTTGTCTAAATTATTTGCTAAATTATCTCATGAGCTGTGCTCAACAGTAGCCCATTCTAAATGAACCTGTGATACTAGAAATTTCTTACTAAAGGGGAAGAAATCCAGAAGTTTTATGGAGATATAGATATTGGGTAGATTATCTCCTGTGAATTGTTCACCTATTCCCTGTTTCCTTCTTCTAGGGGGAGGAAGAAATGACCAGAAAACATTTCCCATACCAGGGGCTTGAGAATTGTATAGGTGTATGCAAGATCCCACTTCTTAAAAAGCACTTTGGTGGCTCTTCATATGCTGAGGTAAGAAGAAAATACTCTGCGTTTGAAAAGCACTCCTGATTTCAAATTGGCATGCTAAGATGGAAGAGGGCAAGTAGTGGCACTTAACTGTCAAAGTCAAGGTGGGCATGCTGACCATAATAACAACAGAGCTGGCATGGTGTTCAAAATGATACAACTCTCAAAAGTTTCTGCAAGTTTTTTATATGTAAGAGACTCACAGTGATCAAAATAGATGATAAGTTAGGGTTCTAATTCATTTGTAGAATGGAAAATACTCCAGGGTTAGTGGTTACAGTTCTAGTGGTGTGTTCTTGAACTCAGTAGTTCTGGTGGTGGCCTTTGGACACCTGCCTCTCCAATCTTTACAGTGATTTTGTAAGCACCTAATCTCCTGTCTTAAAACTCTTCTACTTAAAGTACCTAGAGTGGTACAGTGCACATAACACTCACTGATGCATTCCACTAGAGCTCTAAACTCTTGCCATGATTCTTTCTTCAGTTTCTGGGTATATTGTTGGGATAGATACTCTCAGAAAATGGCAGAATTCCAACATTGACTTCTGATCTATTGATTAGAAGCTACCAAAGATATTATGGTAGGAATAGTTTAGTGAAAGCTCAGGAGCTCAGCCTCCCAGATCTCAATTTAAAAAAACAACTTACTGAGGGGCACCCAGGTGGCTCAGTTGGTTGAGCATCTGACTTCGGCTCTGGTCATGATCTCGTGGTTTGTGGGTTCGAGCCCCGTGTCGTGCTCTGTGATGGCAACTTGGAGCCTAGAGCCTGCTTCAGATTCTGTGTCTCCCTCTCCCTGCCCCTCCCCCCTCACGCTCTGTCTCTCTCTCCCTCTCAAAAATAAATCAAACATTAAATAACAATTAAAAATACTGTAATTTTTTAACTGCCTCTTTAAGAAAATACTGAGATGAGGCTACTGTATTTCCTATCATATCCCTACTTTGGGCCAGTGCAAAACATGGGAGAATTTTGGGGTGCCTGGCTGGCTTATTGATAGAGTGTGCAACTCTTGATCTTGAGGTTAGAAGTTGGAGCCCCTGGTTGGGCATAGAGATTACTTCAAAAAAGAAGATGGGAGAGTTTTGAGAATCCAGGGGATTACTATAGGCTGAGTCAAGTAGTAACTACAAGTACATATGATCTTCCATGTGTAGTTGCTTTATTGCAGCAAATCAACATATGCTGAGGCATACTGACTGCAGCTTTTATCTGGACAAATCTTCTTCTCCGTTCCAACACAGAGAATACCAGAAGTAGTTTGATTTCGCCTAAAGTGGCAGAAATAGATTTTCAAATCAAGATTATCTTAATTCTCTATTCTATGTGCCATAAATGAGTCTACAAGAATTAGGTTGTCTAACCATCCCCAGGGCTAAATTGGTGATAATATGCTGATGAGTTCCAGAGAGCAGAAAGTGCTGGTATCTTAGACTAAAAGTAGGCATGCCAGACGGTGGGAAATAAATCATATGTTAATGCAGTGAAGTTTCTTCGGATCTGTTTTGTGTGGCATGTGAGTTTATCCTCTCCAATGTCAAGGACAATTTGTTTTCTACATCTAGAGAAAAGTGCTGTGATTAATGGTGCTGTTTAGATTTTAGAAGCAGCATATATCACATTTTGTGTGTCCTTCAGCTCTTTCCTGAGACACCTGAAAGGCTGACAGCTTTGAGTAGAGTCCAAAGGAAAATTCTCCATGTGGTCCAGGCTGCAGCTTTTCCATATGGCCTTGTAGGATCCAGTGAGGTTAGTGGTCATTAAAAATCAATTGAAGTCTGTGGTGTGGAAAGATTTAATGCAAGATTCCCAGCAGAAAGATCACAGTTTTAGGAGAACGCTTTACCTCCTTCAGTGAATAACCATTCTTCTTTGGAGGAATAGTACTTGGCTTGCTATTGGGCCAGCCATATACCTGGGCCATAAAAACCAGGTACTTATGAAATATAAGCTACCTATCATGAACTGAGTGTTATCTGATCTACTCAGCTATAAAGTCAAACATAGCCAAGTAGAAATAGTCTGTGGGTGAGTGCATCTTAGCAGATCCTGAAAGCTCCAGTCTCACACACTGATATCTTCCTGTTATGCCTACTCATGCCACACTGCCACCTCTCCACCAACCAACCCACAGAATCATGAACAGTTAACTCTCTATTATGAGTTAACTGAAGAAAAAGAAAAAGAGAGCATAGTTTACAGATGGCTTTGCATAATAAGCTGGAACCATTTCAAATGGATTGCTGAGTCCTACTCAGTCCCACTGAAGTGAAGGTGGAAAATTTTACCAGTAGGTACAACTTTGAGAGATATGACATCTTTGTTTTTTTTCCCTGGAAAGAGAAATAAGTTAATAGGCAGTAACAGATGATTTAGTCAGATTGACATGGACATGAAAAGAGTAAGAAGGCCAGAGGACTAGTGACAAAAAGGCTTGGGAAGAAGCATGTAGGTGGGTCTCATAAAATGGGCCCGTGTGTAAAGATAGTTAGGTTCCATATACATGTCCATAATATTGACTGACAGCCCAATATCCATTCTTGTGAATAAAACTTCAATTTTATACAGGTATCCAGGCTCCTGCATGTGACTTTATACTCCAAGGAAGGCTGGTCACATTTACACCCAGCAGGTGAATCAATTAATCTAGCCAATCACAGTTATCTAATCTCCTGACGAGTGGTTGGTTTATGAGAAGCCACGTGACCCAGTTTTGGCCAATAAGACATTGCAGGAAGTCTGCTGGGGGGTTAGTTCTGTGCTAGTTTCTTCATCTATTAAAAAGAAAATAAGGGGTACCTTGGTAGCTCAGTTGGTTGAACATCCGACTCTTTATTTTGAGTCAAGTTGTGATCTGGGGTTGTGGGATGGAGCCCCGCTTCCAGCTCTGTGCCAACAGCATGGAGACTGCTTGGTACTCTCTCTCTCTCTCTCTCTCTCTCTCTCTGTCTCTGCCCCTTTCCCCTGCTCACACTCTCAATAGATAGATAGATAGATAGATAGATAGATAGAAAGAAAGAAAATAAGATAGTCCCTTCATCTGTCTCACTTGGAAATGGGAGTTAGCCTTACAAATAAGGAAAGAGAGGGGTGCCTGGGTGGCTTAGTCGGTTAAGCATCCAACTTTGGCTCAGGTCATGATCTCCCAGTTCGCAGGTTCAAGCCCCGCATCAGACTCTGTGCTGACAGCTCAGAGCCTGGAGCCTGCTTCAGATTCTCTCTCTCCCTCTCTCTCTCTCCCTCTCTCTCTCTCCCTCTCTCTCTCTCTGCCTCCACTGCTCACACTGTCTCTCTCTCTCAAAAATAAATAAAAACTTTTTAAAGAATTTTAAAAATAAGGAAAGAGAGGGTTGCACTTGTGCTTGTATTGGTTGTAGCAACAACTAACTGCATCAGTGGTAGTACAGAAAGTATGGTGTTGACAGTGGCAACTGTGCAAGCTGTAATAGCTGACACTAAGTGGCAGCAGCACCATGTCCTCACAGGACTAGTTTCGTGTTAGATTCTGGTTGTATCCCTGGCTGCATGGCTTCTGAACTGGATTGCTCTCCTGGATAGTTTGTTTTGCTTTGTTTTGTTTTGTTTTGTTTTGTTTTTAACGTTTATTCATTTTTTGAGGGGAAGGAGGGGAGGAGAGAGAGGGAGACACAGAATCTGAAGCAGGCTCCAGGCTCTGAGCTGTCAGCACAGAGCCTGATGTGGGTGGGGCTCAAACTCACAAACCTCAATATCAGGACCTGAGCTGAAGTCAGACACTTCAACTGACTGAACCACCCAGAAAGCCCTCTCCTGGACAATTTTTGAGCTAACCAATAAGCCTTTCAATAAATCCTTGCATAGTCCATTTCTATTGTTTGCCGTGAGGTTCCCTGGCAGATATAGATCTTCTGGATCAAATGATCTTTGAGATATTGGTCCAAAAGAAAAGCATTTTTACAGCACTATCATTGTTTTCAGAGTTGAGTGTTTCCTTGCAAGTTTTACTTTTTGATGTTATTAAAAGTTAGGAAAGGGGCACCTGGGTGGCTCAGTCGGTTAAGCGTCCGACTTCGGCTCAGGTCATGATCTCGCGGTTCGTGAGTTCAAGCCCCGCGTCAGGCTCTGTGCTGATGGCTCAGAGCCTGGAGCCTGTTTCAGATTCTGTGTCTCCCTCTCTCTCTGACCCTCCCCCATTCATGCTCTGTCTCTCTCTGTCTCAAAAATAAATAAACGTTAAAAAAAAAAAAAGTTAGGAAAGACAAATGTTCATCCACCTACCAGTAGTATCGTCTGGATCAATCTCCAGCTTGTACAAATAACTAAGGAGTAAAACATGGAAATTTTAAAAATTTATTTAAAATTAATAATGGACTAAATGAAAAATATGAAATTGGAAATGGAAAATAAAGGCAATACC